GACTGAAGAAGTCTCTTGGAGGAGAGACGAAACGTTTCATTAGAGAAGAACCCGTCCAGAAGACCTATACAATTTTTTTATTTTTGACATTTAATAGTATTTCTGTATTATTTATTGAACATTTAATCAGTTGTACCCATAATACTTTTCAGTGTTCATAAGAGGACATGTTAAAATGCTTTAATGCAAGAAATACCATGTAGAGCTCAGTTATTGTAAGTTTTCTGCTGTTTCAATGAGACGAGAAATGTAAGGTTTTCTGTTTAGTCGAAGTTAAACATATAACATCAAAGTTTATTACAGCTGGCCCTTTGAGGGCCCCTATAAGCTCACATGGTCCTCGGTGAAAATGAGTTTGACACCCCTATTTCAGACTACATCTACATGTATGGACTTATGTGGATGAGTGTAGTTTGGTGAATTTTTTTGATCTACTGACATGAATTTTGTTTGCCTCCGTTACATAAACACACACACATCCTCACATGTTACTACTGCAGTTTAGCTGTTAGAGATGTGACGTTAGTGAACAATCCAAATCTTTTGAACGGCTCTTTACAGCGAATGATAGGAGCCGAATCGCGGGCAGTAACGAGCCATTTGTAGTTTTATTTCTTTAATTTTCATACTTAAAATGCTCCCGCTTTGGTGTGGAGTACAGAAGCTCACTGTGAAAGGGGGAGGGGGGTTTCCACTTGACAAACACATGGTTCCACCCATGTGATGGGATGACGTCATTACGTACAGCGACGTGATGACGTAATACGTTCAAAATCGAACGGCTCTATGAAACATACGGCTCCTCAAGATCTGGTTCTCTTCAAAGAGCCATTTGTCCCATCTCTATTAGCTGTAGTAAGAAAGTCCCAGAGGTGGGCAGCGCTACTTCAAAAGTTAATTGCACAAATTCTAAAGTGTTCATTAAATTATTTAGTTCAGCAAATTCTAAAGCGCACATGTCTTAAGAAACTTAGCAGAAGCTAAATTAGATCCGCAACATTGGCTCAGATCACCAGATCACATAATTTCCAGTGATATCATGAGCCATTCTTGCACAATACTACCATCTAGTAGCAAAACAAATTGCTTTCTGCTCATATCACTATTTGTTGTAGTTTGAGGAAGTGATCTGTAGAAAGAGACGTTTGACTCACGGTGTTAAAATAAAAAGTTGTGGATTGCAAGTTCTGCTGCTGCTTGGTCATTTATTTTACGTTTATGGTAGGGCTTCTATAAGAAAGAATACACTATATAAGTATTTTTTAAACTGTTTATTGGAGAACTGAAGCAATGCATTCTGGGTAAAGGACGAAGTAAAGGAAACCTTGTTCGCTTCAAAATAAGAGCATGAATTTAAACTTTGCCGTGCTTCAATACGACTTGAGACCGCGGGTTGATAGTTGAAGATTCAGCTTGTCATAAATTATTATAGTTCCTCCCTCTACCCTCTCAAAGCTCAAATAAGTATATAAACAACAATAATTATGGCTGGATTGTTGGGAAAACTTTTATTTATTTATTTATTTTAACAGTGGTTCTAGAAAAAAGAAGTGAAAATCAGCTGAATTTAGATTTTTGTGGGAGACCTTAAAGTGTCCCTTAAAAAAGGAGATTTTAATGTCTAAATCTTTTTACCTATGCATATTTGTTCCACTCATTTAATGTGTGATTTATTTATTTTCTATTAAGTTTTTAGTTAAATGAGTTACAACAACACCAAATTTCCCTCTGGGATCAATAAAGTATTTTTGAATTTGAATTGAATAAGTTTTATATCGTGATATATATCGATACCGCCACCCATCGTAATGCACATCGTGATATGAATTTTTTGCCATATTGCACATTCCTACCACAGTGTTTTTTTTATAAATACTTGTGTAACTGTGGGCAGCCAGTTTGTAGCAAAGCCAGTTTTGCTTCATTTCCCAAGGAGATGGTTTCCTTTCCTCTGTCTGCGCTGATCAGCTGGAAGCATCTTTTTGTTTTCCAACCAGTTGACGTCAAACGCCTTAGTGTGCTGCTTCTACCTGGAACCATCAATAAACTGCACAGCTGAGGGTGCTTCAGAACCTGGAGACACACTTCAGCCGAACCACAGATCAGAACCACAGATCAGAACCTCAGATCAGAACCTCAGATCAGAAACTCACATCAGAACCTCAGATCAGAACCTCAGATCAGAACCACAGATCAGAACCTCAGATCAGAACCTCAGATCAGAACCACAGCAGGCGCATCTGCTGTTCAAGAAAATAACAAACTCTTTAGGGAAGTTTCTTAACTGTAATATCAGATGATGTTCTGCTCCAGTTTTAAATGATGACAATGGATAAAAGACAGAGAAAACTTTAGATTAGTGCTTCTCAAATATAAAATTAGAAAGCACAAATCAGCTTACAGATAGAAAAAATTAGTAAAAGTCCTGAGGCGCAAACAAGAAATTTAGGTCCTCACTTAGCGGATTTGCGCTTTAGGGGACTAGTGCCCACCACTGGGAAGTCCCTTTGGATCTTAAGCTAACAGTAGAACAGCTCCTGTCGTCCACATGACTCCTCCTGAGCTGAGCCACCTCCATTATAAATAATTAGTCTGAAACAAAGACAACCTCTTGGATTTCAGCTGTCCTTTTTAAAGTCTCTGATCCATCACACCAAATCTCTGAGCAACATCGCAAGCTTTACTGGTTTGTTGTGTTTATTTTAACCAAGTTTCTTGTCAACAGAACATCTTAATCTGTTAGAGATCTAATAGTGATTCATGGGAAGATTTATTGGTAAATGAATGAAGCCAGTAGACTTCACTCTTGTTTTCCATCACAATGTTTTAACTTTTAAGTTCTCTGCTTGCCTCTCCATCCATGCTTTATGTTTTGTGATTATTTATTAGAAGTAAATCCAGTTAAAATTACATGAACGCACACATGCTTCATGCATATTACAAACTCTGAGAGACCTCCTAATTTTAGATTAAATGACACCTCAGTTTGTTGTGTGGTGTTTGCTGTCTCTGGTGACAGCTTGCATTTCTCTCCTCTGTCCACTCTGGTTGTTTCTGCTGAAACATTAAAACCGAGCTAACATCCCTCAATGTTACACAAGCTGGGATGCACATTAGAACAACACCATTTCCATTGCTTATTAAACTTCATGTATGCTGATATCAAATATTACTCATTATGTTCAGTCCTGTTTTTATTCTGTTCTGATAGCAAAATATTTCATAAACCACTGGACTGATTTGAATGAATCCCTGAACCAGTGGCTCCCACATCTGTAGTCATGAAAACCTTTGAACGTTTGGTTTTATCCCACCGAAAGTCCAGTTGCAACCCCCAGTTGGACCCTCTGCAGTTTGCCTACAGAGCCAACTGGTTTGTTGATGACACCATAAACCTGGCTCTCCACTACATCCTGCAGCATATGGATCCACCAGGAACCTACGYCAGGATCCTGTTTGTGGACCTCAGCTCTGCATTCAACACCACCTTCCTGCTCTGCTCCAGGACAAGCTTTCTTTGCTCCATGTACCAGACTCCACCTGCAGGTGGATCACAGATTTCCTGATGGACTGGAATCAGCGCGTGCAGCTGGGGAAAGTTGTCTCAGACACACAGACTATAAGCACAGGAAATCCACAGGGCTGTGTTCTCTCCCCTCTGCTCTTCTCCCTGTACACTGACTCTAAAAACTCTTTGAACTCTTGAGTTCAATCACTGCAGAACTCTACCTGAAAACAGACCATTTTAGCCATAACTTGAGACAGGAAGGGGCTAGCTGCACGAAACTTGAACACCATACGTTTGGAAAGATGATTAACAATTCAGCTTGGCCAACAAAGCTCTGACTTACCCAATCAAAAAAAATCACTATTTTTAATCTGAGTGATGAAATCAGGGCTGTTTGGCCAAAAGCCACCATAAGTATCTCTGCAAAGCCTTTATAATCACAGAGTGACATCATTCAACTCATTTATGGACTTATGTCTGTGTTTTATTAATAAAAATGAATGTTTAATTATGAAGAAAGGCCAGGCAGGGGAATATCCCCCTCTGGTGGTGAAACAGATCATTTCCTAAATCCCAACCCTCAACGAGAACTCCGCCCCCTCATTTGCATATTGGACCATGAAATTAAACGCCATGAAAAAGTAAAACAGCCTGAAATAGTAAAACGAAACAATTAGAATGAGTATTTTTGTATTTAATGTTTACATTTCCAGTACTAACATACTTTTCCCTGGTGTTTTAGAAAAAGTCCTCTAAATGTATATGTAATCACATGTAAACTGGTCGGTAGTAGTTCTCTTCAGGGTTTTATTTTATTTTGTTGTTGTAGTTGTTCGTCCTGACACTGCTAGCCTGTTCAGTAAAATTCCCTGTGTACGTGTTGAAAATGTAACCTTAGTTTTGCCCGTTCTGCCCGCAGGACGTAACGAGCCTCTGAAAAAAGATCGACCCAAGTGGAAGAGCGAGTACCCGATGACGGAGGGCCAGCTACGCAGCAAGCGAGACGAGTTCTGGGACACGGCACCTGCCTTCGAGGGCCGCAAGGAGATCTGGGATGCTTTGAAAGCTGCTGCTGTAGCCCTGGAGTGCAATGACCACGAGCTGGCACAGGCTATAGTGGACGGAGCCAGCATCACACTGCCACATGGTGAGGGCACCAGAACCGTCATAGTGCTGCGCAACATATCACTAATCTGTCAGTCAGCACAATATTCTCTTAGATTCTGTTCTCTTAGATTTGAACAACATCCTGTCTTGTCTTGTTTTTGCTTTGGCTTTCCTTCACAGGTACTCTAACAGAATGTTATGATGAACTCGGGAACCGCTACCAGCTGCCCGTCTACTGTCTGGCGCCCCCTATCAACCTCATCTCAGAATGCAGCGATGAGGACACCAGCGACAACCCAGAACCCCCCGCAACATCCAAGAAAGAATTCCAGCTTAAGGTACCAAGACGAGCACAGCTCTGAGATATTTAGAACTTCCCTACATTGGTAATAAAGTGTTTCATGTCTCTGCTAATCCATGAAAAACTGATCAACAGGGTGTAAAATTCTAATTTAGGGCTCTTCTTTGTGTGGGTTTGTTTTTTCAATGAAAACTTATAAATGTGCACGTTTTTAGAGCCTTTATATCACGTCAAATTCAAGGGGGCCAAATGTGGGCACAATCTGCAGGTGTGAGTCCATAACAGCACAGTTAACACTGATCAACAGCACAGTTAACACTGATCAACAGCACAGTTAACACTGATCAACAGCACAGTTAACACTGATCAACAGCA